GAGGGGATGGCAGGTAAACACAGGAGGGAAAGTGAGACATTCTAGACAAAAGGAATCACTTATGCAAACGGTAAAGGCATGAAAAATCTTTGAAGATAGTGCAAATCATCTAGAATGGCTGAAGCAAGCGGTGGGACCAAAGATACAGCTGGAGAAGTATTCAGAGATCAGACGGGGAAGCTAAATACAACCCTAAATTAGCTGAACTTTATTCTCAAGGCTCTGAGAAGTCGTTGAATAATTTTGAGGATATAGGCAAAAGGTATATCTGTTTTTTAGAAAAATCACTTTGCAAGCAGTGGCAAAGATGAATTTGAGGGTGACCAGGCTAGAAGTAGATCTGTTAGGGGGCCACTGGAGTAATTCAGGCTTAAAAGTAATGCTCAGCACTTTAAGTAAGAAAAGAGAATAGTTGCAGTCAAGCCTCCCTTAAAGAGGCTTGAGCTAGAAGTACAGATTTGGGAATCAGCAATATTTTAAGTGGTAGTTGAACTATCACAGACATGATCTGTCAAGGAGAAAATATAGTAAGAAGAGAATAAAACCAGGAGTAACCTCTGTGGGATCCCAGTGTTTAGAGGCAAGCAAAAATGGACGAATGCTCAAAGGAGGTGGAGAAGGAATAAAGAGAAAGAGGGAAGAGAGCCCATGAGAGAGGAGTGCCAGCTTTATAAAGAGAGTGGAATATAGTCTCAGGAATAAGAGTGTCCATTGGGCTTGGCAATCAGGACTCTCTCTGATCTTTGCAATAATTAACTCTATAGAATAGTGGGTTAGAAGTCAAATTTCAGTTGAGGAATTAACTGGAGATGAGACAGCAAAGATGCAAAGCATAAATTACTTTTTTCCCAAGAAGGCTGACCATGAAAGGAGAAAAGTAGGGCAGCAGATGAGTCTTTGTCACTGTTTTTTTTTTTTAATTTGGACAGACATAGATATATTTATAAGCTGATTTTTAAAAATGTGATGGTGAAGATGATGATTCAGGAAATAAAAGGCTAAAAAGAGTACATCCTCAAAGGAGGTGAGAGTACAGATAGGAAACCATCCCCTGCCCCCTTGGTCAGGAATAGTATCTCAACAGAGAGGATAAGAAGGGGGTGTGGCTGTGAATACAGGTAAGTTTGAGGGACCAAAGACAAGAATCAATGTTTCATAGTGCCCATTTATGGCCCCTATTTTCTCTGCGAAATCTTCATTGAAAGTGAGGATGAAAGTGATGAGTCAGGTGGCTTGAAGAGAGTGCTAAAAGTGTAACATCATTATCATGGAGAACACAGGAAGTTGCTAATTACTAAGATACTGAAGCACTACTGGGTGGCAGTTGAAATTGGACTAAGAGGAAGACCATGAATATATTGTGGCACCAGTTCACACAAATAGACAAATATCTCCAAGCTCTTCAGAAGCCCGTGGGGAAAGGAAAATAAAGACAAGCAGTAAATTTTAGCAGTCCTGGAGTTTCAAAAGGTGGCCAAGTTAATCCAAGTGGAACTGAAGTAATAGATAAGAAAACTAATGATGGATGTACATCTGCTCACCCGTACACCTTATGGGCTCTAAGGTTTAATGCTGGAAGGGGAAATAACAGGAGGCTCCCACTTTAGCAGCAAGGCCCAGACACATTTTCCAACCTAGACATGTCAGCAGTGAAGTGGACACTAAATTTCAAACCTTCAAAATAGAACTTTTCCGTTAATTTCCCAATTGGCTTAAAATCTAAAGAGGATGAAGGGGGTGATCAGCATTCTGCAGGCCCTTTAAAAGGGTTTACAATTTCCTAGTAAAACATTTTTTGATGACAACAAGAGCCAGACGTCATGAAACTATGTGCTAGCTCAGACTGAATGGAGAGCAAAGATCTCAAGGAAAAGTTGCTTTCAGGCATTGGACATGATATCCGCATGGACATTGAACACTTCCAAGTTGAAGGTGAATTGGGGATGGAGAGGAAAAATGTAAGCCAGGTTCTAAAGATCCTGAAGAATGCAAGGGAGTGACCTGGAACTTGGTGGTGACAGTGAATATAAGGAACAGGTACAGCTGGCACCACCTAGGCCTTAATGGAAGACTATGAGAAAGTGAAGGAATAATCTTTGGAAGCCACAAAAGGAGAAGTGGGCAAATGTCATACCCAATAAAGGCCCTCAGATTTTTCCAGTTTGGGCTAGAATAAATATCCTTCACTGAAGAAAGCTAAAGGGTAAACAGTAACCTCAGGGGAAAAGCTAGATTTTATGTTTATCTAAGGCAAACTATAAAATGTTTTGAGAAGATAGTAAAAATATATAGAAGACCAATCCAAGGAGCATAATGGAAAGGGTGGAGAGCAAGAATAGAAGCCAAAAAGTGTCTGGGAACAAGCTGTCTCATCCCATGCCATCAGAACTGACTGTTGGCTTTCCAGTAGGCTGGATAAAATGGGAAATGATAAAAAAAAAAAAAAAAAAGAAAGATTCATGCATACCATAAACACTTTATATAACTTAAAACATAAATGTCCACACATGTGCCAATCTTTTGATGTAAGGCCAAGGTCTGTTCTCTGCATATGGATCTGCTGATCGGAGTTATGCATCTTCCGTCTTACATAAACCACATCCTTCATCTATGATTTCCAGTTTTGCTTTCTTTACAGTGGAGGGAGAACCTGAAGATACTTGTGAAATAATTTGAATGCCAAACTTATTCAGATTTTTATAATCCCCTCCTCACACACACACACATTCTTTTGCCATTATCCTGCCTACACCTAGTCAATAGCAAAGCTTTTGCAGCTAACATTTATCAAGTCTTCTCACAGCGTTCAGGTTAGTTTTCATAGAAACGAAACTCAAAGTCTTTTTTGCATTGATCAGTTTAATTACTCTGTTTATTCAAAGTATATTATTCAAATAAGTACGACTGGCTAAATGGATTTGGGAACAAACGCAGCACAACTGTCCCTCGTAAAGAAGACAGGTTAATTGGTAGGAGTAAGAGACATGGACAACCTAAAGAGAAGCCTCTGGCTAAACACATCTGTGTGCTGAGAGTGGCAATCCTTAGGAAACTCAGTATCAGTTAATCTTGAAAGTCAGCAAAGAGATCAATTAAGAGAGCTTTAAATGTACAAGGGACATGATAGGTTGCATTTTGAAGGGTAGGTGAGGGTAGCAGGGATGAGAACTGTTAGCAACTGACTTCAGCTTTCCAAGAGGTGAGCCCGTAGAAAGATTGATTTTTTTCAACTCCATGTGCATTCTTCTTTCTGTCCCTCAGTCCCTTTACTCCTGTGGCTCTTCTTGTTTTGGAGAAGAAAAACCAGGAGTTTAGGAAATGAGGTGGAAGAGCAGTAGGAGCTCTAGAAAAGGGGTCTGAAACTCCCAGTCACCTCTGGGTCTCAAGCTAGTTCCATTTACTGCTTTTCTTTCAGCCTTCACATCTAGGAATTCGGCCCACTTGCCTCTTCTCCTATGTACATCTGTTCTTTACCTGAGCCCTTCTGTCAGGTAAATGGGAACTAATATTCATATTCATTCTAATTCTCTGTCCCTCTCATTCTCTCTCTTTCTTCCCACCAGTTTTTCAGAAAGGTAACTCCTCGTAACCATCTATAAAGGGAAAGATAACAAAACTAACAAAAACAGAATTATCATAGATTGGAGAAATATTAAAAGCATGAGTGTTAACTGTCAGGGGGCTAGACCTACCCTACTGTAAACACTATCACTAATTCTCTTTTTGTGTTTTTCAACACAAGATATTCCTTTCATGAACCGAGGAATTCAGCACATGTTCTCCACATTCCTCGTAATCATCTATAAAGGGAAGGATAAAAAAAACTAACAAACCTAATAAAGAATGGTTTAACTCCCATGAGGTCGTGGAGGAAATATTAAAAGCATGAGTGTTAACTGTCAGGGGGCTAGACCTACCCTACTGTAAACACCATCACTAATTCTCTTTTTGTGTTTTTCAATACAAGATATTCCTTTCATGAACCGAGAAATTCAGCACATGTTCTCCATATTCCTCAGTGAGGAGTCCTCCTACTTGGGAAGTCTTACCCCAGCACTCTAAAGCATAGATTTAATAGATACTCAGGGTGAGAATATCTATTAATATTTATGTTATTTATTAATATCTATTTATAAATATCTATTAATATTTATGCAGGCTGCAGGCTTTGGCACTGGATCCTCCCCACTCCTAAGCCCTCTTCCCTCCCCTCCTCACCACTTCTTAATTCGTTAACTTCTCTTCCTGCAACTGAATTCTATAGTACCTCTTTTGGAAAATCTTTTCAACACTTCCCTGCTGCTAAAATGGCAATTTATGGATCACCCACCATTTACTGAGCACTTAAACTATGGTTAATCAGTGTGTTAGGTGGCCCATAGGTTTCAGGCATCATCTTGTTTAATCCTCACTAAAGTGGTATTACTATTATCATCACCATCCTCATTTGACAGATAAATTAACAAGACTAGAGAGGTTAAACCCAAGGTCACATAGAAAGTATCAGAGCCAGGATTTCAATCTAGGTCACTGAAACTCCAAGGCTGGGTTCTTATCCACTACACTACACTGCCCCTTCCCAGAACACCCAGGCTCAAGTGGAATACATATTCGCAATTTGGAAGAATTTTCTTACGATATACGTACTATCGATGATTTCCTTCTCTAACAATTACCCTCATCCATGCACCACAGGAAAAATAAGCTTAGGGCATTTGCCTAATAGTTTGGAAATAATGTTTATTTGTTTAAGACAACAAGGGGAAAATCAGCCAAAGAAATACACTCTTTCTAAACCACCGTATTAGGAATGATAGAAAACAGTATGTCTGCCCTCCATGAAAGCAATTCCCACTCAGTATTTTCCACAACCCTTCCCTGTAGGCAAACACACAACATCTGTAACAAAGTGAGGGTCAGGGAAAGAGAATCATGCAATGAGATAGGGAATGTTGGTAAAACAAAGCCATGTCCTGGAAAGTTAAATAATTCCAACTTACTTTTTTGGTACACTTCTTCACAGTGTTGATTAATTCTTGTATTACCAGATCCACACTCTTCAAAGAAGGCCCTTTCAACTTTACAATCTGTTTCTTGACTATCGCTTCAAATGCCATGTCTGGAGTAAACAATCCTGTCCTGAAGGTAAGAAAGCAAGCAGCCCATGAGATTTTTTAAATTGAGTAATATTCAAAAATCTTTTGAAAAATGTTTAAATTAACATCCTTTTTAAATTAAGCATGTAATAGACCAAGTTTAAAAGTTACATAGTGATTTGTTCCATCCACAGCACTGCTATAATAATATCTTTTTTTCTTTTTTTTTTTTTTTTGAGACAGAGTTTCGCTCTGTTGCCCAGGCTGGAGTGCAGTGGCCCGATCTCAGCTCACTGCAAGCTCCGCCTCCCGGGTTTATGCCATTCTCCTGCCTCAGCCTCCCAAGCAGCTGGGACTACAGGCGCCCGCCACCTCGCCCGGCTAGTTTTTTGTATTTTTTAGTAGAGACGGGGTTTCACCGTATTAGCCAGAATGGTCTTGATCTCCTGACCTCGTGATCCGCCCGTCTCGGCCTCCCAAAGTGCTGGGATTACAGGCTTGAGCCACCGCGCCCGGCAATAATATCTTTAATATTGCTAAACCATAATAAGTTCTAATCTATGGAAGATTAGTATTAGCTGAAAACAGTGCCCAGAATGTTTATATGGCACGTCTTGTGACCCTTAACTAATATTTAACTGTAATTTGTCTTATCTCACTGTTTCACAGCAATAAAAAGAAATGCTACAATAGAAATGGTGTTCTCAATTTAGATTCCTATTTCTAAAAGATTCCAAAATCAATTCCTTTTCCTTTGTGGAACCGCCAGTGAGCTTCACTTTTTATACACTAAAATAGTAGATTATATAATTCATCCATTCCAGGACAGCTATATTACTGTCAGCCTGACAGTTCCCACTCTGAGGTCCTGGGGTACTGGGAGAATAAGACAGTAAGGGGAGTTATGAATTAATTTTAATATTTCAAGATGCCTAAATTAAATAATGACTTTACAAAAATAACAAATGATAACCAAAGTAACAAGTGTCTTCCTTTGGGCTCTAATTAATTCAAATTGGTGTTATAACAATGCTTCTCTCATGCTGAACAGGAACTCAGGAAAGCAGATATATACATGTGCATATGTGTATGTGTTTCATAAAAAGTGAAAAATGATTACTCAAATTTAAACAAAAGGTCAATAGAGAGAAGCTACAATAACAGAGGCCTTTGAACTCTGAGACTTGGCCATAACTGAAGGCTGGCAGGCTGCAGGCTTTGGCACTGGATCCTCTCCACTCCTAGGCCCTCTTCCCTCCCCTCCTTACCTCTTCTTAATTAGTTAACTTCTCTTCCTGCAACTGAATTCTACAGTACCTCTTTTGGAAAATCTTTTCACACTTCCCTTATACTATCTTGACTTAACGCTCCTTCTTATCATTTGCTTAGCACCCTATGCTCACCTCTATTTCTAACTGTAGTAATCATACTAGATTATAATGGTAATTTCTCCAAACTAGGTACGAATCGAATTCAAACTGTTCAGTACAATATTAAAATTTTTTCACTCTTTGACTATAATCTTTCTTCATAGTTACTTTTCTCCTCGCCTTTCGCATACCCTATGTTTTAGTCAATTTGCCTTTGCTTATATTGTATGTCTTTGCCTTTGTCTATGATGTTCATTTCACGCTCTTCACAATTTTGGTCTATTCAAATCCCACCTGTGCTATAAAGCCCAGATGCAAAGCAAGCACTTATAGTTCCAGTCTTTCCCCAGTCCTGCTGCTGAGACCTTCCTTCTTGGAAGCCCAGCATTCTATTTCACATTGCAGGAAGCTGGGCACATGTTTTAGTCCCATCACTACACAGGAGGGAGAGTTGTTACCCTATTTATCTTGATTTGCCCCATAAGGACCGTCTCCCTCCCTTGCTCATAGTCAGCATTCAGTGTTAACAAAACAATGAAGAAAAACAAAGCATCTCTTCCATCAAGTCCTTCATGGGCAAAGAGGGCTTCTACTACTCAAATAGCCAATGGAATCAAATGGGAAAAAAATTGTCAAACCAAGCATATTTAAAGGCCTAAATAAGCATACCGTGAGTATGTCTTAAGCTCAGGACATTGTGCATTTCTTATCATCTTACAGGCAAATTTATAATAACAACCAACAATCTCCTGTTGTTAGGCGTATAAGTCAGAAATCAACAACTCTGAATTACTGAGATTTTGCAGTTATATTTGACAAAAGCTGCATATGGTAATGAGTTTTACAAGTGAAGTAAAAATACTGTATTTGGCTGAGTTCAAATACTGCATGACCCAAAAAATGTAATTTGGTTCCACTGCATCTATCAGATAAACATGTCCAAATACCAGATCTACCCAGCTAAAAAGTAAAACAGTTTCTACACCATATGTATTCTGGATTTGGTGTAGAAGAAATAGAATAGGGAGCTTAGAAATCCTATCGATGATAAAAGAAAAAACATTAGGTTTGGTTATAGAAGTTTTCTCCTCTTCACTTTGTAAACTCATATCTGCCCATACTATTTGAGATTTGTGGAGCAGATTGTCTAAATTTTAAAACAATAAACAACTCAAGCATCATAACTCCTTTGTAAAATCACTCCTCACATGCACGCTCAGTGTCAAGCTTTGCCTTCTCAGGGTCTGTTCCCAGCATAGTCTCAACTCGGCCCTTTGGCAGAGGCTGAGCCACAAACGACAACAGGCAGAGGCCACCTCCTTCATATGAGGCAATCTATGTACTAGGCAACTTAAGTTTTATTGCCTTGAATTAAGGACACTACAATTCAACATATGCTCATTAAGTTATGTTTAGCCTTCTGTACATGAACTGAAGAAATAAGTATTTTAAAATCATTTGTTTTCATCATAGTTCTTTAAAGAAATTGTTATGAACTGAATGTTTGTGTTCCCCTAAAACTTCATATGGTGAAACCGTACCCCTCAATGTGATGGTAGTAGGAGGTGGGGCCTTTGGGGGATAATTACATCATGAGGGCAGAACCCTCATGAATGGGATTAGTGCCCTTATAAGAAGAGGCCAGAGAGCTGACTAGCTTTCTCTCTGCCACATGAGGACAGAATGAGAAGACAGCAATGTGCAGGCTGGAAAAGGGCTCTCACCAGAACCCAAACATGCTCACACCCTGACCTAGGATTTTCAAACTCCAGAACCATGAGAAATAAATTTCTGTTGTTTATAAGCCACCCAGTCTGTGGTCATTTGTTACAGCAGTCCAAACAGACTAAGATAGAAGGTAATTTAGAATAAACTCACTTTAAACAAGTGGAAATTCAGACACAAGTTCCACCCCACCCCCAACTCCACCCAGCTCAGGTCCCTCTGCTCTCCTGACCACATTCCTCAAGACAGTCCCAATGCACATGCATGATTCCTGGCTCCATGGGTACATGATGTGCCCTCTCATCTCTGAACCTTTGGTCATCCCACACCTTCCACCAGAAAGCCCTTTCTTTTATCCTCCAGCCTCAACAACCTCCATTCCATCCTTCCATCCTCTCCTGTCTCATCACACTGCCACCCACTTCATATACATGCCCCCACACGCGCAAGCACACATGCACACACAACACCTCCTAGCCTGTTGAAATCATTCTCTCCACATGCAAGGATAAACTTGAAAGTAACTACCTCCATTCATCTTTCCCAATCTTGCTCCACAACATTAATCAGAATTAATCTGTCCCTTCTCCGGTATAAGTAATGATTAATTATGAGCATGTCTGGCCTCCCTCATGAAAAACGAAGGCTCTGGAGAATGGGGTCTTGCTAATCTGTGAATCCCCTATTGTGCAGAGTACAGGCTGGAAGTGCAGAAGATGTTTTTGCTTTTTCACTTGGAAAAAACTGACTACAGCAATACAGGAAGTTACCATTAAACTTCAAAGCAGGATTTCCTGTTTCTGATTCCCACCTCTGTATTCTACCCTGTTCAATGATGAAAAGATGAGTTTCCTAGCTATTTATAAACATTAATTTTCTTTTGGTACCTTGAACAGATGACAAAAAAAAATGTGAATCACTTGCCTGATACCATGTATGTTTTTGATTGCATAGCTTATTTCTCTTCGCAGTTCTTTCTCATTGAACTCCATCTGCAGATGCAAAATGAGCCATGGTTATGATACTTAATTCCTTTGAATAATATTGTTGAACAATACAGAATGAGAATAACTTGACTTCGTTATTAATAAGTGGATACTCATGTCTTTCCTAACCTAAACCCAGATGGCCAAAACATCTGTTTATATAAAGTTCAAGGCAACACAGAACACTAGGGATTTTGGGGAGTTTAGGGGCAGTGGATTTTAACTCTATTATAGATATGGAGTGCTATGCATAAGAATGCCTTCTGGACATAAATCTAGCCATTCATTTGAAATGTATAATTCTTCATTCTTTTGCTAAATACGGTAAATTTGAAGGCACAGGAGAATGCATAAATGAGGGTATCACCTGATGTGCAGTAGCAGTACAGATGTCCTGAAATTAACAATGACTGTCTTTTGTCCCTGGCCACTTAAACCATTTGAGTTAAAGACCTCTTTGTAAAAGAAAATTAGTGCTATTTTAAAAAGACAACACAGGATAGATTACTGTACAAACATTTCTCAGAAGCCCAAGGTACCATAAATCTACTTGGAAGTAGGATCAAAGTGTCACAGAGCTTAGACCTCGAAGGGGTGGCCAGAGAACACTGAGTTCAGCCCTGACTTCTGAGATTTGGCCTCTCCAGCTTCATTGTCTGTCTACTTCCCCCTCATACTTTATGTCCTGGAATGACGAATTGCTCTAGGTCTCTACCCACAACCAATGGCTTCATAGCTCAGGGCCTTTATCGTTCCTCTCCTGTCCAGATCACCCCTTCCTGTAACCTACCTCTTCCCGCTTAACTAGCTGCTCATCCTTCCAAACTCAGCTTAGAAGCCTGGCTCCCTCACACACTTGAGCTGGGATTCATGTCTGTGGGCTGTGTTTCCATAGCACTTTGTGCTGAAGTTTATCACTTTACTTAGCACATTTCAATGAAACTATCTATTTACCCATTTGCTTCCCACACGAAGACATAAGCACTCGCCTCTCTGTTTGAGACAAGTAGTATGGTCCCTAAAACCACTCAGCTGCCTATTGGGCATTTTACACTTTGCACATCCAAAGCAGAACTCCTAATTCACTTCTCCATACAAACAGAGCTTTTCCTTCATTTCCCTCATCTGATGGGCACCACCACTCACTCAGCTGTGAAAGCCAAAACCTTGGAAGTCATCTAAAAACTTATCTTTCTTCCATTCTCCCATTTCAGTCGAAGCCCTAGCAACTTTATCTCCAAAACCCCAAAGCCACCCATCTCTCTCTATCCTTTCTTGCTGGAGCACTTTTACTGGAAAGCTAAAGAAGTTTAATTCTCAGCATTTCTCCCTTGCACCAGCCTCTTCCAAGACCCTGTGCCTGACTGTGTGTTTATAATTTTGTATTCTTCTTCAAGGGGACCTGCAAAATTGTAGAAGTTTCAGACCCCACAGAAAACGAATCCACCCCTTGTCTGACCCACTGTTCTCCTCACGTCTCTTGGCTCTTTACAATCCAGCAGGTATACTATTCTTCTAAAATCATCAACGAATCAAGTCACATTACTGTTTAAAACCCTCCTGTAACTTCCCATTGTTCAGCATAGACTTTACCTCAACCTAGAAAGCCTTGTGTGAACTGGACACTTCCTCCCTCTCTGAATTCACTTCATGCCCCTCTCCTTCATCAGCCGCATCTCTTCTTCACCTGTCATACTTTAGTGTCTTATCCGAGGTTGCTACTTCTGCCTTGAACAACCCCTTTCCCCCAGAGCTTTAACCAGCTGACCTCTTCATGACATTCTGGGCATAGTTTAAATGTCCCCTGCTCAGACAGAACTTGCCTGATTATTCCATTAACAGTGGCTCATCCGGCCCCTTTCTTTTATATGATGTTACATAAAAACATTTGCAACTTTCCTATTTTGTCTGTTTGTTAATTTTCTGTCTTTCCCCCCTAGACAAGCAAGGGCCTTGCCTGTCTTAATCACTAGCACCTAGAAATTTGGTGCATAGCATATGCTTAAGAAATATTTTTAAATTAATTAGACAACAAACATCATAGGAAACTCAATTAGTATTTGTGTTTGAAATGCAGTTAAAACTCATTAAATAAAATCAGAATCATCAGTAAGAACACATTTCTCTCCTGAATTTCATTACCTGAATATGGAGGTTTTGTTCAAAGAACTATGTTAGTTCTATACCACTCACACAATATTTTATTGAGTTGTATAAAACAGAATACGGAAATGAAGTGAAACTAAGGGAAAAAATAATGTTTGACACAAACCTTTACTATCTCAAAAGGAAAGCGTTCATGAAAAATACGATTGATTTTAGCACCACCTGAGAGTTCCAGGGTATCTACTTGATCCCCTGACCCTTCAATTCTCTTCTCAAAGTCCACAGCAAATTGCTGAACCATCCTGTAATTTTAAAGAGAAATAGATTCAAGTCAAAGTTACAAGCCTTTGCACTCTTCATTTTCTTTTCCTATGATTATTCCTTAGAATCGTTTTCCAGGTACTCTTAGTGGCACCTACTGGCAGAGTTAACACTGCACTCTATGTAGCACTCACAGTGTGATTATATGAAATACACATCAAGATTTTAGACATTTAATTAGAATAAATATTTAAATATATTTGTCTTTCAATGCATTCTGTTCATTTGATTACAGTCATAAAATAGTATTTAAAGAATACTTGATGGGGCCGGGTGTGGTGGCTCATGCCTATAATCCCAGCACTTTGGGAGGCCGAGGCAGGTGGATCACCTGAGGTCAGGAGTTCGAGACCAACCAGGCTAACATAGTGAAACCTCGTCTCTACTGAAAATACAAAACATTAGCCAGGCGTGGTGCAGATAGTCCCAGCTACTCGGGAGGCTGAGGCAGGAGAATGGCGTGAATCCGGGAGGCGGAGCTTGCAGTGAGCCGAGATGGCACCACTGCACTCCAGCCTGGGTGACAGAGCGAGACTCCGTCTCAAAAAAAAAAAAAAAAAAAAAGAATACTTGAAATAGAGAGTTAATCAATTAAACTTTATGTAGAATAGTCAAATGGACCCGGACTCCCATGACATCACAGCCACCTAGTGTTCCAAATGCTCCAGCACTCTCACTCCCCCAATGTCACAGCCTCAATCTCTCCTCACACTCATCCCTAGGTGATTTCAAGGTTACTATAGCTTCAAGGGTTATTGAGAAATAGTTTCTCCACACCTTCCGCTTTAGCCCATAACTCTCAGAAGACAGTGGCCCATATGCTCAACTGTACTGGATGTTTATTTCCTCTTAGCTGCCTTGAACTTAACACATCTAAAACAACCTCTTAATGTCTTTCACTCCCAAACCTGCTGATCCTCCTGCATTCCCAAATCTCCCCTCATGGAGGATGACACCACCCACCCCAGGCAGGGAAGATGGGGCATCCAGCATACCTCCCTTTCCCTCACCCAACAGTTTCAGGGAGCCGACAGTTGTAGGTCATTTCTCCTCCGTTACAGTTCAGCTAGTTGAGCTTTTCCTCCTCAACCTGCTAACACTGCCTTGGTTCAGCTCTCAGCAACACCTCCCAGCATCACTGAAGGCTCCTCTAGATGATCATCCTGCTTTTGGGTTTATCTTTGTCCAAATCAGACCTCACCCTATCAGAATAACACATATTTGTGACTCTTCTACAACTAGCTCTAGCCTTGTTTTTCAATGGATCCCCACAATTTGAATACACAGTCAAAACTCTTTAGCCCATCTCCCAGAATTTCATAGTCTGGCCTTGGCTGCCTCTTCAGCCCCATCTCTTACCACTCATCCCACTCACCTTCCAGCCAACCATAAGGAAGTCATTGCAGTTCCCCAAATGCACCATGCCCCTGTGCTTTTACACTTGTTTTTCCTTCTGCTCAGAGCACCATTCTCTCTGTCTCTTGCTGCTTTGCCTGACTAATTTTTACATGTTCTTTAAGATTCAGATCAAGCATTGGTTCTTCCCAGAAACTTTTCATGATCCATGACTCTATCCAGCACCACTCCTCATTGCCCCTCCTCTGCATCTGCAGCATATTTCCTGCAGAGCACTTGGCACAGTACATTTACATTGCTACGTCTATTAGTCACTCTCCTAAGGGCAAGGACCGTGTGTTTTCTTTACCTTTTCCTGCTCAACATAATTTGGAGATTTAATAAATATTTGTTCCATGAAAGAATGAATTACCTTACACTGGCTGCCAAGAAGAAGAAGAAGAGGAAGAGGAAGAGGAAGAGGAAGAAGAGGAAGAAGAAGAAGAAGAAGAAGGAGGAGGAGGAGGAGGAGGAGGAAAGAAACAAAGAAAGAAAGAAAGAAAGAAAGAAAGAAAGAAAGAAAGAAAGAAAGAAAGAAAGAAAGAAAGAAAGAAAGAAAACAACTATGTTCATTTATGATTACCAGGTTTAGAAACTCCAATTTAAACATACTGGAACTACTTTCAAATTCAAAATCTAAAAGGAAAAAAATTCAAACTATCTAAAACTTGTATCTTTTTATTCTCTTCCATCAAAATCATAGGTGAATGAAAAGTAACTACAAATTATTTAGGCCAAAGAAGCTAGACTATAATTGGATTTAGTTATGTTCATGTATATGCAAATTTTATTTTTTAAAAACACCTGGAGAGGTATGACATACATACTGAAACATGAAAAATTTTTCAGAACGTGTACCTCTAGCTGCTCCTTCCCCTAAACCCTATACCTCAGCTACCTGATCCATTTACTAACCCTAGAAAAAATGTCACCAAAGTTCTCATGATTCTCTTGCCCTCCTCCTTCCACATGACTCTCCTACCTCACGACCTGTTTTCTCTGCAAATCCACATGCTTCCTCACATGTTAACTGCTTCCTCATCTGGGCTCCCTTAATATTTTACACTTACAGAAACATAGTATTTATTAGCTTTAACACAATTGTGTTAAATTGTGTTAATTTTTATGTCCGTTTTTCCCTACTCTACTGGGACTTCTTGAGGGCAAGAATCTTATGTATCGTTCAATTCACAGAACCAGACACTGAGTGCATGAAGAGATTAGAGGAAGGAGGAAGAACAGAGAAAGTAAGGCAGGAGGAAATGATAGAAGAGAGAAAAGAAATAGGTCAGAAAGAATAGGGCCATAAAGAAGAAGCTGAATCAGCCCTCTGCAAGTCAAGAATCTAGCTGTGAAAAGTTCTGTAATCTGAGTCCAATAAAGTCACAGAGGCAAGACCCAGTATTTGCAAGCAGAATAGTTTTAGCTGGATATTAAGATAATGATCTAAGGCCTAAACAGAAATAGCTTTCTCTGTAACTTGAAGAGTTTTTACAAGAGCTCAACCAAACCCAAGAATGAAAACAAAGAATAAATTAGGAAAGAGTTACATCTGAAAAACAAACAAACAAACAAACAAAAAAACTCTTTCCTTTGTGTAATATTTTTGATGAGGAAATAGATGATGAAGCAATTAATATTGTATTTAAATATTTGAGTATTTGGGAATCTCCTCACAAAGAAAGAAATAATAGTGTGTGCTTTAAATGCCAATTGAAGGATGCTTTGATTGTCAGGCTGCAGGAGAAAAAAGGGAGCCATAAGAGGTACCGAACATCATCTTCGGAGGTAGACCTCGGGTATCCTGCAGTGTGTGCTGGGCAGGGGAGCCTTCCCATTGAGAGGGACTTGACACAATTGGCAGCACAGGATAAAGGAACTGATGGCACCAGAAGGAGTCAAGGGAGAGAAGACAGTGTAAGATATAAAGAGCTAGGAATTCTCTAACAATTCTCTGCTATCCTACTCCAAGACACCACAGGAATAACTCTAGTAACCCAAAGATAAGATGGGAAGATCATGAAGGGGTGAAAAGATGTTTGGCAGTTTCACATTTGCATTTTCAAAGGGCTACATTAAAATCATTATGTAAAAGGAAAAAAAAAAAACTAGAGCCTTATTATTAGCACTTTTTAATTAAATCCTTGGTTTTCATTCCACTGAAAAATGCACACAAATAAGTTACATGAAATAATTGGAATAAAGGATAATAAGTACAATTGACATCCATAGAAACAGCTGAAAAATATATTTTCATCTGTATTTACCCACTTCTAAGACAAGGGACAAAAATTCCTGCTGGGTCATCCCTAATAGTTTTACTCACTTAATCCAGTTTTAAAAACACAATGTAAATGGGCATAGCGATGCTCAATTGGTAAGTTGATAATAACAGAGTAATACCAATAATTCGTGTTCAACAAAGCATAAAAATTCAAGAGTTCTTGTATATCATATAGATAATCTCAGATAGTTTACTTGCTGCCTCTGTTAAGCCTAAGAAACAACATGACAAATAGACTAAGGCAAAAGAAAACTAAAAAAATTAGTTTAAAATGCTGTGCCAAGGAAGGGAAAGGTGACCTACTGCAGCAATGCTTTGGTCTTCCTGGTTGGGTCTTCTGGTTTGAAATTTTTGTAGGCTTCTACTTCGTGTTCTATGGAGAGCAACTGTCCCTGTAGTTTGTTCCTGAAGTTTGGTAGGGTATCCCGAATGTGGTTGGTAAGTTGCTAAACAAAACAAAATCATACACACAGATTGACGATTGAATCATATACACAGATTAAAGACTAACTCAGGAGACAAATATCAGCCTCCATTGTTTTTATAATCATTCAAAATTTCAAACATTATGTCTACATTTGAGAATGACTATTATGTAGATAGGGAGAAGAAACACCAACTCCCTCCTCCACTGCCCTTCAGAGATGCTCAAAATTCCCTCATTTAGAGTCACTCACTTGAGCTATCTCTTTAAATCTGGGAAGATCCTGTAAAAATGCAGCTAATGTTACTAATGAGGCTGCCCAATAACACCTTAGTTAGCATGGATTGACTTATCAGATCTCCTACCTGGTACAAAGGAACCTTAAGTTAGAATGTGATAGAAATGAAGGACGCTAGGAGTCACAGGTGCCGCCTGGTGTTCTCAGGACTAAGTGGTTTACCACACAGGTGGAGCTCAGGTAGCCAAGGTGCCAGAGGCACCTGCCAGCTGTTGACTTTCTCCACATTCTTCAGCTGAGGCAGCAACTTACTCGTACTTCCACCTCTAGGTCCCAGTGCAACTCCATGACTGAGTAAGGGAAAGCTCTCTCTGCTATTGAAGGCTCGACATAACCATCTACTTGATATTTCCACTGAGATCAGCAGGCACCTCAAGCTCAGTACAATGAAAACTTCTCCTACAGCCTAAGAGTGCATGATTAATTAAGAACAAAGGTGAGATAAAAACCTAGATTGTTTAGGTCTTACGGTCTTTCTATTACAATGCAGTTAAAGAAAGTCTTAATTAAAAGAAAAAACAGATAACCTTCTTGAACTGCCTAAGTGATGAACTTGAAATCAATAAAAAGAATATAAACTTCCTAGAAATGCAGAAAAAAGAAAAAATATTAAAATTAGGGAGAATTAATATACCCAGATTGACTGAAGAAACTATTTTCAGTCATCTTTATGTTTATCTGAGGTCACCTGAATATATTTATTAAATAAATCTAGAGTTATTTGTCAATAGTTTATAACTGTATTACCCCCTTGCTCACAGTAATAAATTGTTATGTTAGCACCCTGGCATGCACTGCTGTTCTAACTATGAAGCAGGCAAAAAAAGAGCTGAGAGGACAGCATTCCCGATAGCAACGTCACGAGAGACAAGGACCCAAATCTAACAGAAACAGCAACCACAAGAAACCAGCAACCAACTGATTGCCATGTGAACTGGTAAATAAAAATACCTGATTTTCACCTTTTGCTTCTCAGACATCTCCAGAGCAAAGCAATACTGTGGCTTTCTAAAACACTTCTTCCCCTGGTTTCCATGACTCCAGCTTCTCTAATTTTTCTGCTATCCATTCTCGATATATCTTCTCTATTTCCTTGGACAATTCACCCTCTTTGCCAGAACAGTAATTATTGAAATTCCTCAAATCTGGGTCTGAGGCCTCTTTTTTGTTTACTCTCTGTTCTCTCTTCAGGGAATCTCATTCCATCCATGGCTTCAGTAAACATCCAAATACCTATAGCTGTAAGATGTTGTCTCCAAACAAGATTTATCTGTGCTGTGGCATGCATATTTGACCAACTGCTTGACTTCTTCTCTTGGATGTGTCAATGACATCTCAAGCTCAACATTTCCAAAATCAAGTATTTGATCTTCCCTTCAGGGTTCCCCATCTTGGTGACTTTATAAGAACCTGGAAACCTGGGACATAACCTTGACTCCACCTCTCCCAATATCCAACAGCTCTAATTTACCACCTAGTCCTCAATTTTCCTGAACATTTCTCAAACCTGCCCCTTCTTTTCATCTCCACTGGCCCTTACAACCAAATTCCCATAATTTCTCTTTTACTCCTAACTGGTCTACTCTTGGTCTTCCTGTCTTCAATACCATATTCTTTTTTCACCCATGGATCTGATCTTGTTATTCCTCTACTCAGGACCCTTAAATGACTCCTTACTGGTCTTAGGTAAGAGCCAAAATCCTCAATTTGGTCTAGAAACATTACAGGATTCAGCCACTGCCTACATCTCCAATATCATCTCATACAACTCACTACCTCTTTCTCTGCCTTCCCCCCACAATGAAAATTTCATTCAATTTTTCAAAAATGTCATGTCATTTTGCTTATCCTATAGGATCAGAAGTATTGGTACACATACATAGCCATAGAATTATCTTAGTTTCAAACATAGTATAAATATTCTTGAAGCAATAAAGAGAGAGTGATTATCCAGGAAAGGAGACATCTTCAGAAAAAAAAAACATTCAATTTTTAGTCAACGAGAATCCAATTGTGTCATAACTTGGGCGTCACCTGTAATAATCTAATAGTCAACCACCTCCTTCTGTTTTTCCAGTATTCAAAACCTAACTCATTTCAAGCTTTATCTTTCTAATCATATTAGTGATTTTCTTCTAAGATTTTCTCAGTTTATTTGTGTTTTTTGTAGGCCAATACAGCTGTGAAAGCAGTATTCTAAAGAGAGTTTTGACAATGCAAAGTGTATTGGTAGAGTGTTAGGATTCTTGCATAACAATGCTCCTTCTCTAAAATATATTCATATTTTTAAATGATACAATCATAGTGATGTTTCCTAGAGTCCAAATATTTATCTTTAATTAAAAAGTATAAACTTTACAATAGTCTGTGTTGAAATCTCTTAAAATGGAATTATAACACAATTTTTTATTTTCTAAAATTTCTTCTCAGTTGTTTTGCCTAAATTGTTCAGGTATAATGTCACATATTATGAGAGCTATTGATACTTTCTAGGAGCTAAGAATCAGAAATCTACTTGATTGATTGATTGCCTGATTAAGTTTGTACGTAACAGTTAAAGCATAACTTATAAGAATATTTGTGAGAAAGGCTGCTAGTCACATGAAGTCAATATAATCAAAACTCAGGGAGGGGGCCCTGCATTCAATGACAATGATGCTTGTCATAACACTTAACTCCAATAGGGGAAGGAATATCTGTAACCAAGTAAGAGCATTGAGGATTTATGGAAGAAGTTTGTGCATAGTGCATGGAGCGGGGTAGGCAGAAGGCCCAATTCTAAATTATTGTGGGAAAAGGGGTTATCTGGAAAAGCATCTTAGATGAGTGGAAATCAATGATTATTAAACCAGGATTTGTGATTCTAAAGATTTTAAATTAAGAAACAAATCAATTCTAAACAAAGTCATAAAAAAAATTAACAGAAAGTGTAACCTAGCCATTACAGATTGGTGCTTCAAAAACAGATACCAAGAGATCAACTTTTCAAAGTTATAAAAATTTAACTTCTCAAGGTAACTACATATTACAAATGAATATATGCTAAAATGTATATCCCTGTTCACTGTTCCTAAATAGGTATATGTTTCTGCTTTGAGAACTCTTCTTTCAATAACAGGAAGATGAGTTCTATTCACTGAGAATGGTAATAGTGTGAATCTGAGGTACTAATACCCATTTTTAAAATCCCTATCATTGAAGCTGCATGTCTTGTTTTGGAAAAAAAAAAACTTAAAAATAATAAATACAAATTCCAGCATCCACTTACATATTTCATAACTGTTCTTATTGCTTGAAAGAACATTTTTACCTGATTAAGGACCTTCTGCAGGTGTGGGGTTCCCATTCGGTCAGCGATATGTCTGTAAGCCGGGTGGGAAAGGAAAAACTTCCTCTCTGCCAACATGGCTGCCTTTATGTCCTTCTTCCCATCTATGTCCTTCTGGCTTCTGTTTACCACCCCCACGTAACCTGAAACAAAACACCAATCTATGGAGTTGGGACACTTTTTGTGGCTTATTCCAGGGAGATTTCAAGGCTCTCACATAGGCAGACTAAGAAAAGCAAAACTAGTTTTAGGTGTGAAGACTGAGTCCCTTTATAAAACTCAATGGGAAACATCAGTATTGAATACAGGCTACTGATTGAGCTCACAATAATTTTTTAGCGTCAATACAATAGTGTCTCTCACCCTTAAACTGTGTGCATTTTAAGAGAGTGTGTATCTTCGCAGTTTTGTCATATAGCAGGCAAGTAAATATCAGGCTTACAATAGTATAAGTTTATGCAGTCTATGATGAATATTTATAACCTCGCTTCAAACTCCTTCCTTTTCCTGTTTTATTATTCCTGTTATTTTAAAGAACAGTTCTCCCTTTGAATTATTTTCTAATATATCATTCGGTAATGTACAGCCATTCCATAAAAAGTATAACTAATGATAAATCCATTCCTTACAACTGAGAAGGCATTAAAACCAAAACTCCTAGTGGCTTCCCAATCATTTCTCTTCCATATAACCAAAAACAAACAAACAAACAAAAAAGTATTGTATAGACCACAGTACATTACCCCTGCGAAGAGGCAACAGTTTGTTCTCTAGAACATCCCTGGCATCCGTTCCTTCATCCATAAGGTCCAGTTTGGTGATAACTCCAATGGTTCTCAGACCTGCATCATAAAAAAACCCAACATTACACAATTTGCAGAAGACTAACAAATTTTAAAGACATATATGTCACAATGCTAAATGTAAAGCACATTTTCCTGGTCGTTTTCCCATTTCCTTCTGTCTTACTTTGTTTTCTAAGTGCTACTTGAGTTTGGTGATTTCAATGTGATGAGGAGGAGAGTTGCCAAACCACCCATCCAGAAGATAACCTTCAACCCAAGGGGGAAAAACAAACAGCTGTAGCACTAAATAATTTCCAAATATATGAGTTTATTTTTGTACCAGGCATATATGGAAATTATACATTTTCATTTCTTCCCAAGTTCTCCACCAAATATGAATGTTTGAAGTTTTATGTATTACATTATTAAAAGCAAATAAATAAATAGGTTATACATGGACCAATTGTGAGAGTGTGTCATAAACCAAGCATTAGTATTGATCCAGTTCTAGTCACTGAGGTCAAAAAAAAAATAAAGGAAGAAAAGCAGGTATAGTGTCATCACCAAAAATAAACTCGTAAGCCACACAGCATTCACCATGCCTTAGAAAAGGAAATACGATTTAATGGAAAGAAGACTGTACTAGGCTTGGATTCTAGTCTCAAGGCATGTCACCAAAACTCCACAGGTCTCAGTTTTCCTCATCTGTCAAATAAATAGTTAGAAACCATGATCTCCAAGGTTTCTTTCAGTAATAAATAATGTAAGAACCTAGACATTTTGAGTAGCACATCAGATACATGATATTTGCCATTTGCTTTCTTCATTAGATGAAATGGATGGTATGTGCCTAGTAATTTATATTGCTTTTTGTTTTATTTTACTTTAAGTTCCAGGATACAAGTGCAGAATGTGTAGATCTGTTACATAGGTATACGAGTGCCATGGTGGTTTGCTGCACCTATCAACCTGTCATTTAGGTTTTAAGCTCTGCATGCATTAGCTGTTTGTCCTAATGTTCTCCCTCCTCTCACCCCCAACCTCCTGACTGGCCCCAGTGTGTGATGTTCCCCTCCCTGTGTCTATGTGTTCTCATTCAACTCCCACTTATGAGTGAGAACATGTGGTGTTTGGTTTTCTGTTCCTGTGTTAGTTTGCTGAGGATGATGGCTTCCAGCTTCATTCATGTCCCTGCAAAGGACACGAACTCCTTCCTTTTTATGGCTACATAGTACTCCATGGTATATATGTACCACATTTTCTTTAGCAGTCTATCATTGATGTCCATTTGGGTTGGCTTCAAGTCTTTGCTACTGTAAATAGTGCATCAATAAACATACGTATGCATGTGTCTTTATAGTAGGATAATTTATATTTCTTTGGGTATATACCTAGTAATGGGATTGGTGGGTCAAATGGTATTTCTGGTTCTAGATCCTTAAGGGGTTGCCACACTGTCTTCCACAGTGGTTGAACTAATTTACACTCCCACCAACAGTGTAAAAGCATTTCTATTTCTCCACATCCTCTCCAGCATCTGTTGTTTCCTAACTCTTTAATGGTCACCATTCTAACTGGCATGAGATGGTATCTCATTGTGGTTTTAATTTGCATTTCTCTAATGACCAGTGATGATGAGCTTTTCTTCATATGTTTGTTGGCTGCATAAATGTCTTCATTCAAGAAGAGTCTGTTCATAACCTTCACCCACTTTTTGATGGGATTGTTTTTCTCTTGTAAATTTGTTTACATTCCTTGTAGATTATGGATATTAGCCCTTTGTCAGATGGGTAGATTGCAAACATTTTCTCCCATTCTGTAGGTTGCCTGTTCACTCTGATTATAGTTTCTTTTGCTGTGCAGAAGATCTTTCATTAGATCCCATTTGTCAGTTTTGGCTTTTGTTGCCATTGCTTTTGGTGTTTTAGTCATGAAGTCTTTGTCCATGCCTATGTCCTGAATAGTATTGCCTAGGTTTTATTCTAGGGTTTTTATGGTTTTGGGTCTTGCATTTAAGTCTTTAATCCATCTTGGGTTAATTTTTGTATAAGGTGTAAGGAAGGGGTCCAGTTTCCGTTTTCTGCATATGGCTAGCCAGTTTTCCCAACAACATTTGTTAAATAGGAAATCCTTTCCCCCTTGCTTGTTTTTGTCAGGTTTGTCAAAGATCAGATGGTTGTAGATGTGGGGCATTATTTCTGAGGCCTCTGTTCTGTTCCATTGGTCTATATATCTGTTTTGGTACCAGTACCATGCTGTTTTGGTTACTGCAGGCTTGTAGTATAATTTGAAGTCAGGTAGTATCATGCCTCCAGCTTTGTTCTTTTTGCTTAGGATTGTCTTGGCAATGCGGGCTCTTTTTTGATTCCATATGAAATTTAAAGTAGATTTTTCTAATTCTGTGAAGAAAGTCAGTGGCAGCTTGATAGAGATAGCATTGAATCTATAAATTACTTTGGACACTATGGCCATTTTCATGATATTGATTCTTCCTATCCATGAGCGTGGAATGTTTTTCCATTTGTTTATGTCCTCTTTTATTTCCTTGAGCAGTGGTTTGTAGTTCTCCTTGAAGAGGTCCTCCACATCCCTTGTAAGTTGTATTCCTAGGTATTTTATTCTCCTTGTAGCAATTGCAAATGAGAGTTCATGCATAATTTGGCTGTTTGTCTATTATTGGTGTATAGGAATGCTTGTGATTTTTGCACATTGATTTTGTACCCTGAGACTTTGCTGAAGTTGCTTATCAGCTTAAGGAGATTTCAGGCTGAGATGATGGGGTTTTCTAAATATACAATCATGTCATCTGCAAACAGGGATAATTTCACTTCCTCTCTTCCTATTTAAATATGCTTTATTTCTTTCTCTTGCCTGATTGCCCTGGCCAGAACTTCCTATGTTGAATAGGAGTGGTGAGAGAGGGCATCCTGGTCTTGTGCCAGTTTTCAAAGGGAATGCTATCAACTTTTGCCCATTCAGTATGATATTGGCTGTGGGTTTGTCATAAATAGCTCTTATTATTTTGAGATATGTTCCATCAATACCTCATTTATTGAGAGTTTTTAGCATGAAGGGATGTTGAATTTTATTGAAGGCCTTTCTGCATCTATTGAGATAATCATGTGATTTTTGTTGTTGGTTGTGTTTATGTGATGGATTATGTTTATTGATTTGTGTATGTTGAGCCAGCCTTGCATCCCAGGGATGAAGTCGACTTGATCATGGTGGATAAGCTTTTTGATGTGCTGCTAGGTTTGGTATGCCAGTATTTTACTGAAGATTTTTGCATCAATGTTCATCAGGGATATTGGCCTGAAATTTTCTTTTTTTATTGTGTCTCCACCAGGTTTTAGTATCAGGATGATGGTGCCTCATAAAATGAGTTAGGGAGGAGTCCCTCTTTTTTTATTGTTTGGAATAGTTTCAGAAGGAATGCTACCACCTCCTCTTTGTACCTCTGGTAGAATTTGTCTGTGAAATCTACCTGGTCCTGGGCTTTTTTTGGTTGGTAGGCTATTAATTACTGCCTCAATTTCAGACTTGTTATTGGTCTATTCAGGGATTTGACTTCTTCCTGGTTTAGTTTTGGGAGGGTGTATGTGTCTAGTAATTTATCCATTGTTTCTAGATTTCCTCGTTTATTTGCTTAGAGGTGTTTATAATATTCTCTGATGGTAGTTTGTATTCCTGTGGGATCAGTGGTGATATCCCCTTTATCATTTTTTATTGTGTTTGATTCTTCTCTCTTTTATTCTTTATTAATCTGGCTAGTGGTCTATTTTGTTAATCTTTTCAAAAAACCAGCTCCTGAATTCATTGATTTTTTGAAGGGCTTCTCGTGTCTCTGTCTCCTTCAGTTCTGCTCTTGTCTTAGTTATTTCTTCTCTTCTGCTAGCTTTTGAATATTTTTGCTCTTGCTTCTCTAGTTATTTTAATCATGATGTTAGGGTGTTGATTTTAGATCTTTCCTGCTTTCTCCTGTGAGCATTTGGTACTATAAATTCCTCTATAAACACTGCTTTAGCTGTGTCCCAGAGATTCTGGTACATTGTATCTTTATTCTCATTGGTTTCAAAGAACTTATTTATGTCTGCCTTAATTTCGTTATTTACCCAGTAGTCATTCATGACCAGGTTGTTCAGTTTTCACAAAGTTGTGTGGTTTTCAGTGAGTTTCTTAATCCTGAGTTCTAATTTGATGGCACTGTGGTCAGAGAGACTGTTAGTTATGATTTCCATTCGTTCGCATTTGCTGAGGAGTGTTTTACTTCCAATAATGTGGTCAATTTTGGAATAAGTATGTTGTGGTGCTGAGAAAAATGTATATTCTGTTGATTTGGGGTGGAGAGTTCTGTAGATGTCTAGTACGTCCTTTTGGTCCAGAGCTGAGTTCAAGTCCTGAATATCCTCATTAATTTCCTGTCTCATTGACCTGTCTAATATTGACAGTGTGGTGTTAAAGTCTCCCACTATTATTATGTGGGAGTCCAAGTCTCTCTGTAGGCCTCTAAGAACTTGCTTTATGAATCTGAGTGCTCCTGTATTGGGTGCATATATATTTCAGATAGTTAGCTTTTCTTGTTGCATTGATCCCTTTACTATTATGTAATGCCCTTCTTTGTCTTTTTTGATCTTTGTTGGTTTAAAGTCTGTTTAATCAGATACTAGGATTGCAACCCCTGCTTTTTTTTTGCTTTCCATTTGCTTGGTAAATATTCTTCCATCCCTTTATTTTGAGTCTATGTGTGTCTTTGCATGTGCTATGGGTCTCCTGAATACAGCACACCAATGGGTCTTGACTCTTTATCCAATTTGCCTCTGTGTGTGTGTGTGTGTGTGTTTTCTTGAGACAGAATCTTTCTGTGTCACCCAAGCTGGAGTGCAGTGGCACAATCTCAGCTCACTGCCACCTCTGCCTCCCGGGTTCCAGTGATTCTCCTGCCTCAGTCTCCCGAGTAGCTGGGACTACATGCGCATGCCACCACGCCAGGCTAATTTTTGTATTTTTTTACTAGAGACGGGGTTTCAGCATCTTGTCCAGGCTGGTCTCGAACTCCT